AAGTAAAGACATACTACCACTAACGTTTTATCTAAAATCTCTCCCCGGTGGCTCAGGGGTAATTGTTAGTGTCAATAACATTAAAAATCGGAATTCGATACTTGTGGTGGGCAAAGCACAAAGAGCTCATTGTGTAGCTTCGTGCTTAATAACAAACGAATAAATATACACGCGAGAAAACAATACAGCCTCATAAATGTCATCAAAATACTATTTTGTCTATTGTCTTAAATACGTATCCTGCTTATTAACTTCTTGAACTGAAACTATATATATATGCGTAAAATTGAATATGAAAGCTTGCGGTCACATTAAAAGCTCAGAGATAGCAGTAATACCAACCAATCCAATAAGCACAATTAGCGGGGAAGAATTATTACTATGTCCTTGGTAGAGAAACTTGACATTAACCAGACTGTCACTAATAGTTTTAGTTCCATGTTTTGCGCAAGTCGACTATAAAATACTATTCGGCAAAAATGTATTCGTTTCCGGATTTAAAAAAAAAAATCATTCGAAATTCCATTCGTTTTGAATGTCAACACACGTCATAAAAATTGTGAAGCAATAGTCACTAATTCGAGAAAACACACAATGGTTTTACTGATAGCTTAATTTGTGAATATCGGGTGGTTAAAGTGGGGCAGTATGCATACCGGTAATGGGGGGGAAGAGTACGACATACAGGCAAAAAAAAAAGTCGTATACTGCTGCAGAACCACATCTCTTTGGTTTCGCATGGAAATACGTTTGGCCCTAACGTCTCTACAAACACAACGCGGGAATGTTTCATATCAGTTAAATATCAATATGCAGACACGTATGCATTCCAGCACTTTTTCCTAAACAATAAGTGACGTAAAGTGATCATATAAAAAATTAAGCACAGGGTCAATTTCACCACATCGTGGGATCCAATGTTCAAAAATAGTATTAAAGCTAAAGAAGGTCTAGAAAATCCATCGTCTTCCGAGTTTATATATATATATTATTTATAAACACTTGTTTTCATGCACGTCACGGAATTTTTGTGGGGAGACATTTAATTATATTTGTTCTACATATAACATTACGTTGGTGATACGACTAATAAATTTGAACATGACGTTAAGCTGGAAGCACACGTATTGAACACTACGAAATTTATGATATTCGCATCAAGTACAACCAAGTTTAACACACATTAAATGTTTGGCATACACGCTCTTTATAGATTAAGCATATTGGAAAAACTCCATCTAATAAGTTGTGTTAATTGATTCTAATACTGTATAGATTATTTGTTAAATCAATGAAACAAATATGCAATATGCATCAAGTTGAATATATACTAAAAGAAGTTCATAACCGTGGTAGCCAAACAAGACCAGCAAGTTCATAAAATGTATAATTCAGTTTCAAATTTAATCATTTCTAGTTTATTCTTACAAGAATTTTTGCATCACGTGTGTTTGATAAATTTGACAAATTGCATTTAAGGCAAGAAAGGAGAACTGACAATATACGAGAACTGACAATATACGAGATAGTTTCTTCAATCCCAACACTTTAACAGTTTATTTAACTTATACTGAGTTATAGCTAAGACTAAGAGATATCTACAGCTTTAGAATGAGGTTAGTTGGTTTTCGTCTGGAATGTCTCTTAATAACGTTTCACCACACCAAGCAGCGATCATGATGTAGGTCAATTCTTTACCAAGAATGCGTTGAAGATTTGCTGAAAAATTGTCATTACGTCGCTCTTAGATTAGTATGAAATCTCCACTATGACCAGGTCATCTCGATTCTCTATTATGAGCCTTGTATAGTGTTGGTCAAGTATCAATTAATCGGTCTTACGTAGATAAGGGCACGTATACGAAATTACAATACGGGGTGAGGCAAAAATTCTAAACACTTCATATACATGCACTGAATATTATGAAAATTATATAATATAGTTCTCTCTCTCGTTGATGCATTACGGGAACAAGAAGATGAAATGGCTGGTTCACCAGTTCTTCTGAATGTTGATAAAGTTAATGCAACTAGATAATATTAATAAATAATGGGTGCTCAAAATAAATGAATAATATTGTGGTATTAATTCTTATCGCAAGTTCGTATCATTTACTATTTTTGTTCATGTAATTGAATACTAATAAATCGCGTCTGGGCCACTACTAAGCCTATCATATCCCAGCCGGCCTGATGATTCCTGGTATTAGACGAAAGGCATCGTGGGTACTCTATGTGGTAGATAATGTGTGGTTGGCATATTGTTATATATATTTTTCTTTACTTTCAGTCATACAAGTTATTCGAATATATATTTCAGCTAATTATATACTCGGATAAATCCCCAATTCTCAGACAGAACATGTATGGAATTACTTTAATTCAAAATTTGTAAAGTGTTAATTTTAGGTCAAAAATAAAATAAAAGTATAGGAATTATTTTTATTATTATTCTAAAAATTATTTAAGAAGCTGTTTGTGTGGAGGGCTAAAGTCCTCCTATCTCGTATCTAGCCAAGCCCATGCAATTGAATATGAAGATAGAACTGAAGAGTAATGGAATCCAAATCATAATTCACTTTCATTATGTAACTTTGGCCTATCCTAGAAACAGATACATTTCGCACACCTTAAACCTCAAGGAAGCGTTTAGTTTTTTTTTAGTTTTTACTTTAATGAAGTAGACTTAATTGTTCCATTCATTTTCATTGGTTTGATCAAAAGTATTACGAGTAATAATTAATGGTGAAAATAAGTTATTTCTCTAGTAAACCATTCTAAATGCCCGGCATGGCCAGGTGGTTAGGGTGCTCGACTCGCAATCTCAATGTCCCCATCCCACCAAACATGCTTGCCCTTTCAGCCGCAGGGGCGTTATTATGTGACGACCAATCCCACTATTCGTTGATAAAAAGAGTAGTCCAAGAGTTGTCGGTGATGACTAGCTACCTTCCCTCTAGTCTTACACTGCCAGCGCAGATAGCCCTCGTGTAGATTTGCGCGAAATTCAAAACAAACAAACAATATTTTAAATAAGAAAAATATTTAGATGATCAATTCTGATAAACAACCGCACACGTGTTGTAAATTACCCACGCCGATTGAGTTTTCAACGATAATACCTTCCTTTGCATTACGTGCAGACGAATACGCTCCTTTAACCAGCGTTCACTAACAACGTAACCTGCGACTATCTGTTATAAGCGACCAGCGAACCCGTGTTTTGAACTATTTTGCACTTTTTCAGTTTAATGATCATTACCTCTTAATGAAAGTTTAATTTCTTTAACCAAGTTACAAACGGTAATTAGTAGGTCTACTTATTTTCGTACTCTATAATAAATCAATGCTAAATTTGGGGTGCACTTTCGGGGAATTCCCTTAAAAGGTATTTTTCGCGAGATACCCAGGTTCCCCAAGAGAATGGTGAAAAGTTTTACCTTTGTGCAAAGAGACGATTCGTTTGACAACATTTAGAAGTTTGTGAATCCACCAGTTTAGGAGGAAAGGTTTTCGGGAAATCCCCGGGTT